TATGTGGAGTCTCACTGTCTTGGGGTTGTTAGCAGTGAATGGGTTGAAGGCTGCTTCTGAGAGGGCTCCAAAACCTTTTCAACTCAGTGAGTGACATTCACTACAGTCCACAGTGAAGCCACTACAGTCGCTGAGTCACTAGAGCCAGAGTCGCTAAGTAGAGACTTCCAACAGTCAATGTCTTAGTCGTCTAGTTAGCCACCACAGTAACAACTGAAGCCTTGTCCACATTTACTCACACCATTCTGCTCATGTGTGTGCAGAGACTAAGGTGGTGTTTACCCAGCAAAACACAAGAAGGAACACAGTTGTGGGTGATTATATGGCAGGATAAGCAACCCGGAAAATGGAAGTTTCTGACTTCATCACTACACTCTCATAAACCTCTCCAGTTCTGCCAGTCTGACACTTTTGTGCATTGTGTCTGGCCATGCAAACATACGGTTACTATTAATTGCGGGTATAATTATACTAATTTAGCGTTTTTGCACCAAGTGTTTTTGGCGTATAATTATTTTAGCGATTATTGTGTCTGATGTCTAACTTTTTGTTCTATTTAAGCGAATTTTCATTGCTGCACATATTAGCGCGCATATAATATAGCTGATTCTCGCTAAAAATTGGGGCGTGGTTTTTGTCCCGCGCCTATAGCCTACTGTCGGACATGGCTACTAGTAGTTGGCGACTGGAGGATCTACATCAACTAGAAGAGCTAGGCCTGGCTGGTCAGTTAGAATCAACGAGGCTACAAGAAAAGGGGATTTGTAGCGATCAGCTGGGCGTTGCCGAGTGTGCTGCTGAGGATTTGAGGTAACCCTCTGGCCCTGGGTGTAGTATGTGCTGCCATTTTTGTGCTGTAGTTCAGTCCTGTCTGACCTTTTGATGGCGCCCACCGTAGCAGCTCCCGTCCAAGGCCTTTCACGGCCCAAATTTGATGTCATTCTACTGGCTCCCACAGCCAACGGAGTAAAGCAAAGCAGTCCAGAAGTCACCTATATAAACAGAGGTATAGTAAATAGCTGTAATAATTTCCAAACGGGTATACAATTCCGCAGGTCAGTGGTATGAGATCCAACTAAGTTCCTGTGTAGACCAGCTGTTAAACGATACAACACATTGCAGGGTTCGCCATTTCATTGGTTCACTTTTCTGTTGTGTGAGTGTCTTGGTCATTGCAGTGTACTGTGAGTTTGAGCTTCTCAGAGCTTCGCATGAGGAACAATGAGAGGGAGCTGCTGGACAGTTGGGTACAGGAGCATCCCTGTGAAAGACTGATAGACATAGGTATGTCGAACAAGTGAAGGCTTCGTATTAAAGTATACTTAGACTACGGTACACCAATCAGAATCCGAGTTTAGAGGTAACTGTTTTTGTTAGTTACCGCTTCAGCACTTTTCTGCAGATCGCAGGGGATGCAAGGGAGTGACTCACATAGAAGACTCAGAGAACCTTAGCTCCTTCTCCTTTGTCTGGCAGCCAGTAGGCTCTGCTATCATATCAGTCAAGATAAATAGTCTGAGCAGTGAATTCGCAGCAAAAAAACATGGTGCGTATTGGATTTCGTCTCTCACGTGTTGTGGTGTCCATGTATATTACCACACAGTGTAGGAGGAGAGAAAGGCATTCTTCTGCAAGTATCCATTGATTTTTATTGCGTTGCTACTGACGATCACCTGCAGAGGTCAGGATGCAATATCAAGGTATATTCCCAATGGGTCTGATGATGAACAGCCGTAGTAACACTGCTGGTGAATGAATAGGTTTTCAAGGACAAGGGTGGGGACCGCAAGCAGAAACAAGACAATCAAAAGGTGGAGAAACTCTCTCCAAGTGAGCGTGTAAGTGTAATATTTTACATTGGGTGTAGTGTTGTTTGTCTCCTAACTGGCAGTCTATGTACCGGCCATCACAAGATGTCACCAGATTCTCAGTGGTAAGTATATTGGTCTCCATACATTTGTTACCAATCCTGCTATTATGTAGGTGTCACGAGGAAACCATTTTCCCCCACCTTTTCCCATCCATTCCTCTCCTAGGTAACGTTGAATTTGACATCACTCAGCAAACAAGTGTTTTGTTGTCCATGCAGCTCTCAGAGCCACCCTTGTGGCTCCTCCCTGACACCTAGTGCCACATTGAATGTACTATCCTCAGTCAGGGATGTCCATCAGTGGTTGACTGCACGTCACTTCTCCTCTTACCTCAGTCTATTTGCCAACTACAGTGGAGCCGACCTCCTTCGACTCAGTCGCCAGGATCTCAGAGAACTTTGTGGCGCAGCAGATGGGATCAGGCTGTTCAATGTTCTTCACAGTCAGTCACTCTGTACAGTATATGTGTGCTTGGAAAACGAAACAGGTATTCATTTTCATGTACCATATTGCAGTACTCTCTACATCTGTTACTCCTTTCAGTTTACCAGGCTCTTTCTCTTGAGCTACTAACAGCTGAAGAGTTTATTGCCAAACTGACAGAGAAGGTTGGGCTGAAGCAGAATGAGGTGTCATCAGTAATTCAGCTCACTAGCTCTGGCATATTAGTACTAGTGGATGACACGGTACACCTTTGATGTATTTTTTACTGCTCCTGAGTACCATTGTTCATGACACAGGTGGTCAGAAGTTTCTGTAGTGAAGACAGCTTCGTTGTGAGTGCAGTGAAAGATGAGACAGCCTCATATAGACTTGTGCTCCGTCGTTCATCTCATCTCTCACAGCTCGCAACACCTCTTAGTGCCCAAAACACGTCCTTTGATTCATCAACTGAACATTCTTAATTGTTGATTTGTGATACTGTTGAACGTTTTTTTGTTTTCCATGTCAGTGTGTAGAGCAGAACTTCTCTACATTCTGATATGCATGACGACCAAGAGAGTGGTAGTACGTATAGAAAACACAAATAATTTGAGAAAATTCCATTTGCATTTTCCACATGCATATATTATATAAGAGCATGAAAAAACATGTTTATAGCCATATATACTAGCTAAAAGAATAATTATGAGAGGAAATGAAAGAACCCCTTAAACCACTCCACCCAAATTATTATCATAAATAATATAGAAAACCTTAAACTCCGAAACATAATTTATACGCAGTACGACGATGCAGCTTAGATAAAATTAAACATGCCATTACTCTAAATAACGCACAGCATATACACGTGTAAGAAAAATATAAAAATAGAAATGTCAGATGTAATTTAATTTCTTTGCAGTCATCACTTTCATCTCACCATCTCAGTGCTGCATAGACTCAGTTTATAGAGCAAATTAATTTTTTGCCGGTGTTTGAAAAAGCCCAAAATGCACTTAATTCATTTTTTGGGTCGTAGCTCGAAAGCAATGACACAACAACGAATGGTCCTTTTCCCGTAGCAGGACATTTATAATAAAAATTATACACTTACTCCCATACCACAAACTTGTTTAAAAGTAATGTAAAACCACACAAAAAATAATGCATACAAGTTCGACTCAAAGATGAAAGTTTTCTTGTTCCACTGGTTTTCTGATCCAACATGATCCCCAGCGGCTCTTGAGGTGGTCCGATAAGAGGTTTTTCGCCGTCCTATAGTCACCTGCTAGGCTCTTGACCTGTCCATAGGTGCAGTAAGACCTGATGAGCTGCGACGTTACACCTGGAACAGCTGCTGCCTGGACACTGGCATCCACCTCACCATTCCCAGCCTCTAGCACAGCTCCACCTTCAGGAGGATTTGCTCTCAGCCTCTGACTGCGACGAATATTACCATCTTTCTCCTGTGGCCTGCTTGGCTTGGCTTTCTCTTGGGGGAAAGGCAGAGATCCCTTCAGTTGCTTGCTGTCTATGTCTGACTCGACACTCGACTGTTGACCCTTTTGAACAGCTTCAGGCAACAGTTTTACAGCACCTGACTTCACACTCTCGGGAGCAAACTCGTCCCACAGCTCCACAAACCTCTCAAACAGCAGCTGCTTGCACAAGCGTGATGGGACACGGTCGTCCAATTTTCCAGTTTTGCAGTGGACAACCTCCACCTCAGAGTCTCCCCATGTCCAGTTTAAGCTGGTGCTGGGAGACTTTTGGGCGACACGAGGAGATGGATGGGACAATGGATGCAAGAGAGGGAGGGTGGGGGTGAACTGTTCCGGTAGGCCCTGCACCCCACTGATGCGGGAGTACACAGCGCGGAGGAGGTGCTGCTCCTGGAAGAGAGAGCCAACAATGATGGACTTTAGGTACACGGGCTCAATGTACAGAGACAGCAGAGCTCCCTGCAATCCCAGCAAGTTCCATCTCGCCAGTTTGTCACTGCACGACATGGTGAAGAGTCGCTCGCCAGCCAGAATTCCGTCCCATGTCTGGACCTGACTCTCTGCAGGAATGCTACCTTCTCCTGCCTCTATCTTCACCCGGACTTGTCCCCGGGACTGCCGCATTGGGTGTGCATCCCCTCCCTTTGCATCGGCCGGGGAAAAGACTCGGGCATCTCCACACGGAGTGGTGCTGATGTACAAGTGGAATGAGATGCCTGTTTTCAAACAAAACTTTCCTGAAGCTTCTCTTTCGAATATTGACTGGTTATCTGGTCCCTTGGTGCATAGGGTGAGCTGGGCATACATGAAACGAAGGAAGGCTCTTCGAGCAATGACCTCAGCGTGACAGTCATTCAATGCCAACCCAGACTCACTAATCGACTCCCCACTGATGCACTTTGTACCCGTTCCCAAGGCAACTACCTCTCCCCCCACATCACCAGACACAATCCCCTCCCCAGAGCTGCCTTTCATCATGACTATCCCTGCCATCACCTTCTTCGCCCTCTCTGACTGCGGTCGCTGAGTAGCCAGCTCACTGAACTTCTCCTCACACAGTTGGCCGACCCTGTCCGCCAACATTTGGGACACATCAGGGCCCAGGTCCATGAACCACGCAGGCTGGCTGCCTGGAGGAGCCACAGCATCCTTCCCTATGTTGTACACATTGTCCAAGTGCCTCAGTGCAGTCTCTGCTGCAAATGCCTTCGCCTTCTTTTTGTTTGGCCCATGACCTCTGAATTCCCACCCACGGATTACAACTGTAGCCTCATATTGCTTGGCATGGGGAGGCCCAGCATCTGAGTAGGTGAACATGGCATCTTGGTACCTGCGAATCAGCTCACTGACTGGGTGCAGAGTGCTGTACGTAATGGCTGTACGAGAGCGCTTTGCTTCTGGGGGACCCATGTCCTCAGGAAATGGCGGGGGAGGGTTGGCAGGCTCAACAGGGGACCCTGACAGCAGACAATCATTGCAGCTCACGTAAGGGCTGCTGGATGTGGCTCCCGAGAAACTACTTCCAGTTTCAGACGCGTCGGCAGTGAAGTCTGTTGTAGCTGGAAACAGTGGGGCTACGCCTGCAGACAAAATACCTGAGGTGGGCTTCAAATAGGATAACAGCACTCACTGTTTCGAATTGTATGTTCAGAGAGGCTAAGTTGTACGTTGTAGAGCTTGCGGAGAGCTTCTGCAGCAGCTGCCCGTTTAGCTAACTTCTTAGACCGCCCAGTTCCAACGAAGTCATCCCCCATCACAGAAACGGCCATGGTGAACACTCTGCTATGAGGTGGGCCCACTTCCCCACGGAGCTCATACTGACAGCCGTTGTGATACGAGTTAAGGATGTTGCAAGGATTACTAGCTTGGCCTAAACCAGCCATCGACTTTCCGATCGAGATGGGGCCGGGGACGACAGGGAGAACGTGGACCACGCGCACGCGCAAACCGCATGCCCCAATCTATTATACACACACACACTCTACAGCACTTTAGTTATGGAGTTCACTGCTGAGTTCATGATGGCACTTGTCACAGACTCTCACTGGGTCACTGAAACCTCTGTCCAGGAGAGGAAACCTTTTACTAGAACATGTCCCACAGTACAGACCACCACACTGCCGACAATGGTGCTACAGGAACAGGAGGTATGGCATTAGCCTTCAGCTGGGGTCTTACACCTCACCCTGCGACGGATGGTGGTGAAGTTCTTCTTGCAAGCCATGCAAGCAGCTGCCTCTTCATCAGGCACCCATCCATGAATGACAGTACAAGCCATGTGGTCCTTCCCACACACTGCTAGTCGGCACTGCTTTCCAGCAAGAGCCTCCACCTCCACCGGCTGAGACCTGAACACACACTACCACTATAACACATTGTCCCCAGAACAACAAAGTCCACTGCACCTGCTCTTGTTCTCTCCATGAGCAAGCTGACCACTCACGCCTAGTCCCCACGTGAACACTGAGCCGCCGGCTGTAGTTTCAGTGACAGAGTTACAACATGCGTAGGTCAAAAGACTTCACTTACAAGACAAGGCCACTGTGAAATTGGCTCCACATGCAACTTGTGTGATGAAGTGCCCAGTTGGGATAAGGACAGCCCTGGGGCGACAGACCTCCTGTGTTGAGAGAGGGACCCCCAGTTGACCTGCACTGTTGTCTCCCCAGCAGTAGGGAATGCCACTGCCTGTCAGGCAACAGGAGTGACCGTCACCACAACTGACATCTGTCACTGGCTGCTCGCTGCAGCATGAGATGCAAACATTTGTAGTCTGAACACAATTCACTCTCACTTGAAGCCCTCCACCAGCAGAGGAAGGTTCTGAGGACTCTTCAGAATCTCGCCCTGTCCCAGCTGACCGCGCCCACCCCACCCCCACATGTACAATCTCCCGTCCACTGTATTGGAACAGTCCCTCACACATGTGACGTCATATGACATCATGTACCATCAACAGCAGCGGAATGGTTACGCCCACACGCGATGCGATAGATGGAAGGGTCCTCAGTGAAGGACACCAGCGAAGGGGCAGTGACAGCATGCTCGTGGCCAAGTCCCAGCTCCCCAAACTCATTACTACCAAATGAGAACACCTGGTTTCCCTCCGTACACACTGAGAGGGGGAGAGACCTGATAGCCAACACCAGAGAGTAGCAGGGCTCACCAAGAGTGTGGGCACACCCACAAGCAGCCTGAGACACCCGATGCTCTTCCAATTGGCTCACTCTACGTGGCCTCATCTGCTTGTTACCACTCTCAACTTCATACCCCAAATAAGGCCCTGCCCTACCCCAAGTAAACAGCTCCCCATTGTCTGTCAACAAACAAAACATCAACAGCTCACCAGTTACACAGAGACACCTACCACAGACAGCAGCCGAGTGGAACTCATGACAAGCAATGTACGTCACTGCCAGGCCCCTGAGAGGAGCTCCTATCATTAGAGGAGAAAATCGGTCCCGCAAGTTCCCGTGCCCCAGACGGCCATAGAATCCAGAGCCCCAGGAGTACACCTCTCCAGTGACTGTGTGAAGACTGAGAGACTGGGGGGGCAGGAAACACATCCAGATACATACCTCCCAAGGCCACAGTGTGAGCCACTCCACATGCTGCCATGACAATATCCCGGCCAAGCAAGCTCTCCACCACACGGGGCACTCTCTCATCATCTTCATCTTTATGACCAAGCATTCCTCGATGACCTGACCCCCATGTGTACAGGTCACATGCACCTGCAGTCATGGAAACAATAGCCTCTTGTTTCCAAGGATACCAAAAAAACTCACTTTCTTTGTGGGAAACCTTTGAACGAATGGTTCCAACTGTAACACGGAGTCTGTCATCCTTTACTTGTGCCTTACGATCCACCTACAGCATGGAGCAGGAGGATATGAGCATACACTAACAACATAAGGGGACGCCACCTGAGACATGTACTGCTCCACACTGTGATAGTCGCTGAAGCCTTCCTTTAGGGCCTGGCACAGAGGGAGAAGGGTCAATACCGAGTGAAGTGCTAGGGCTACACTCACCATAAGTCCAGTGGTCCATGTCTGAAACTCCCTCTTGTCTTTACAGACAATGTCCAGGGAGCGACCACCACTATATATGAGGGAGAAAGAACGCGACTCAAACTGGGGCAAAGGGTTACGCTTGAAGTTGGGTGTTTTTTGTCCCAATTTGATCTCAGAGATTTGTGATATGAGGACAGAGGCATCTATCTTCTTGGATGACTCCCAAATCAGCCGAGTCAGGTCAGAAGTCAGCCGAAACCTCCTGAAGTGCGGTTTACCCTGTGTCAACATAGCGGAATCATAGATCGCCTACATCTATGATCCAATGTCGCAATGAGGACACTTATACCACACGTCTGTACTCAGAACCTTACAGATCTTCCAGCCTTGAGCAGCGTAGCCCCTGACGTCAGGTCCACTAGCGACTGGAGCACCGTGTCAGGCTTGAAACTGCCCGACAAAGTCGCCTCGGGATCCATGTTCTGATGTTTGATCCTGCAAGCGCACCCTTTGCTTACACGCACGCGCATGTAGTCCGCATGCGCATATTAAATACCAGCCCCGCCTTCAGCCGGTTTCTCCAAGCCTAAGAGACGATGGAAGCGAAAAAGACGACGTCGAGCACAAGCCCCGATGAAAAGCGGATGAAGAACAAGAGACGCGTCAGCTTCAGCAGTTCTACAAAATTTACTTATCAAAGTCCTGAAAGGTAAGTCGATGTAGGAACCTGTACACGAGGTGCTCGCGTCGCTTAGATATAGACAGAAGCAACTGGAGCAAGGGTTCGTGCTGGACGGCGTATGTGTGAGTCACCTCGCCAACGATGAAACAGACAGAACGTTTCCCTCCATGAACATCGGTATAAGCACGAACTTTTCCTAGTCTCAGCCGCACTATTTTTTTAGCGTTTCAGGTATTCCGCAGTTCAAGGCCCAATCCGACAAACATGTCTCCAGCTACTTCAAGCGAAAAGGACTACCACCTTTCGTCACCAGAAAGGTTTTTACATAGTTCAGGCACACACTATACATAATAGCTGTGTGCTCATTGTGTAGCAAGAACAAGAGGTTTCAATGCAAGGCAGAGTCATTGACAAGTTTTGTGCCAGCAGTGAAGCTACTGCTTACCTTACAGCCAGACAGAAAGAAGGAGCAGGTGATGTGTGCATGTTACTCCAAACAGTATCTGAAGTATTTCTGCATGCAGGTTGTACAAGACTGGTGTGGGGAGGCCACACTAGTGTTCCAACTGAACATGCAGCTGTTGGTTGGCATGGTGAGGAAGGCTATCGCAGAAACACTTTTGACCTTCGGGCTCGACATTCTGTGTTTGACTATGAAGGTAACACCCACTTTCATTATTTTATTCTGTTGCAATTGACCCACTTTCTACAGATCCCTTTGAGAACCCCAGGCCACTGCACACCTTCCGCCAACGCACACAATCAGCCCCAGCCACCATACGGCTGATGAGGCAGAAATCTGCATCCGTCTACCGCTCATTCCCAGGTGGGAGAGGGAGGAGAGCCATGTCTGCCATCCCACGACCTCAGAGCAGTAGTCAGATGTGCCGAATCCTAGCAACTGGACCTGTTACATAACCCCATGTATATACAACATTGAACACTGCTTTTATTAGAATTGATTTATGATGATAATAATATTATATATTATACAAATGAGTGCTAGACAGTTGAACTTGGTGCCTGAGGAATGCCATTGCCCTTGACTTTTTCTTGCTCTGGTTTAGAGGACTTGCCATAGAAGGCATCGAGCAGGAGGCCCAGGAACACCAGAATCACGCCAACCCACTGGCGGAGAAGAAGTGGGTTTGCGAAGAGAAGAACAGATGCCAAGATTGTAAAGAATTTGCGCGTGGTAGTGAAGATGGAGCAGGTAAGGGGGCCCAGGTGAGTGATTGTTGTGAAGATAAAAAGCTGTGTCAATATGAGCAAAGGTATATAAAAGGCACCTTATCTGAGAAGTGACATACTTACCTGACCTACTGCACTTGCTAGAGAGAAAGCTGCTAGGTTGAGGGACACTTCTGGATGCCTGAAGATGAAGCCAACTGCCTCCAGTCCTTCCCCACTGAGGAGACAAGCTGATAGGAGTACTACTGACTTGCGAATTGGATATCAATGTTGTGCTCTACCTGCTCCCAGGTAGAAACAGGCATACACGTTCACAGCAAACATCATGTGGTAGGCAGAGTTGTCATAACTCTGTCGCAGTCGCTCCTGGATGGCTCCAGTGACTCCATCCAGAGTGAGGGAGAGAAACTGGATGGAGGAGGTCCATGGCTGTTGAGGGAATGGAGGGAGCACATTATACCACACCTACCACCAGCAGCTCTCCAAGACCCAGAAAGTGGAACAGCCTCCAAGAGTGGACTTCATTCGTTGCCTTCTGGTTGTCATCCCGGTAGAGAAACACAGCCACACCTACCACTATTAAGAGGACTATGAGGTACTTCATGGCTGGGTAGTGCTTCTTCCCAAGAACAACACCTAGAATGAGGACAGGAATGGGCTTGGCTGACTTGCCCAAAACCTGAAGTGCACACATGTTCACAGGTTGTAACACTGAATTTGACAGAGAAAAAAGCCTTACCTGAGTGGGGTAGGTGATGTAGGCTAATGCACTGTTGCTGGCAACCATGGCTCCAACATATGAGACTGACAGTATGGGGTAAAGTCTGTACGGCTTTAGGGAGACTGCAATTTCCTGGTACCAACTCACTGGAGACAAGTAAGAACTAATACCGGCTATAATTCCATAGTTTCAACTAACCAGCCCTAGCAATGCAGGCATTTACAACGCACTGGAAGCCTACAAGGAACATGAAGAAGTGAAATTTTTCTCCATCAAACGTTTTCCTCGTTCTGAAGAAAAACAGTCAAAGTGGGTACATGACTACACAGAACGTTTTCTTACATCTTCTCCTGAAGCAGACCATAGACGAAGTATGAAATAAATATCCCTAAAAAGCAGAAAAACGCCACCATTTCACCACTCCTGTTCATCTTGGAAGGCTCTTTCTTGTCTACCGCTCCCTGTGTCGACTCCGGCTGTTTCGCCTCTTTCATACTCTGCGGAGCTTGCGATCTACTCCTGAGTTGGTTGCCCGGGCCAACTCCAGCCATGCCAAGTCCCTGAATACTGCTAGCTAGCACGGCGCACTTCCCGCCTCTAAACCCCAGCTTTCCCCGCCTCTCTCTCCTCCGGCCAATGAAAACATTACACGCTATAATAACACAAAATGATGCTGATTGACTAAACGAAGGGGCGGGGTCTGCTTGCAGACCGCGCCTCCTAATTAGTTCAGAGGACGGTCATACTAGAGTCCTGAGCTTCCTGCAGGTCCAGCAGTGTTGCCTGGACCCTGGCACTCTCATCAGGAGCTGGGGAATACAGGGCCTAAGGAGGGGAGGGGAAGTGACTGCAGGACATTCTGAAAATTCAGCATACCTCTCCTGCTTCAAAGATATGAACCTTTCCCTCACAGTCTCCCACAGCAACATAGTGGCCGTTGGGAGCCCAGTGTAGTTTGGAGAGACAAGTATCCAGGTTTTCCGTCAGTGTAGGTACCTGGCAAAGACGAGGGGAGATAGGAACTGGGACAATGAGCAGTGAAAGCCAACCTCAATGTCAGTGTTGATATTCCAGAAATCCAACCTTCCTTCTCCATCGACGCTGGCAAACACAGCAGGATGAGTGGGGCTCCACTGGACATCATACACATAGTCACTGTTGTTCTCAAAGGAGCACAGAGGTGTGCCGGTCTTGCTCTGTGGGAGAAGCCTTGAGCCTGGGTCTGGACCAGAGCCGAGTGGAGACTCACTGTTAACTGCTGCTCGTTCTGTAACTTGGTACTCCACAACTTGACAGTCCAGTCGAAGGAGGAGGTCAGGAAGAGGTGGGAGTGATCAGTCTGTCCCCCAGTGGCTCTGTGGCAGCTGACAGCTGTAACTGGTCCATGGTGGCCATCAAACTGGACCGCCAGACCTGGCTTGCTACCATGACGCTGACCCTGGAACACACAGACACACTGGCAGATGAAGAAAACAAGAAAGACGTAATATATACCTGGTAAGCTGCACACTCTTGACTGCCAACAATGAACTTGTTCACATCATTTGAGGGGAATGAGAGAGAAGTGACAGCAACCTGTTTTGCTCCTCTGCTAGCTAGTTCCAGGCTCTCCTGCACACCATACAACGTCACCAGGTCTCCTTTACAGCCACACAGTAATACCTGAGGCTGTGAGAGGTTGTCGAGGTTCCATGAGCAGAGCCGGCCATCGTTGGAGGCAGATATGAGGTTGTGAGCATTCTCAGTGCCCACGACATCCAGGCAGTAGACTGGGTGTGTGTGAGATGAGGAGGAGAGAGGAGATCGCTGCACTGGTGTCCTCTTCCCAATGCGGATGTCCCACAGTACTAGCTGGCCTGAGTAAGTCCCTCCAATTATGTAGCTAGGGTGGAATTTACTGAACGCAACAGACATGACTGCACTCTATATAATAGAGAAAAATGGGAGAAGTAAAAGGATAAAGAAAGTAAGGCATTGTATACCTGGCAGTTGAAGATGTAGTCTGGTGTATCTTTCTGGAACTTGAGGTCCCACATGAGGACCACACCGTCTGGATCATGAGGAATGTTGGTATTGGTGAAGTAGCTGACTAGGAGAAGCTCCGGGTGCTAGAGAAGAGGGCTGCTGTAAGTCAGAGGGACAGAGAGAAAGTACTCACATAGCTGGACCAATCCATGGCAGTCACGATGCGGCTCTGACTCCATCTCTCATCAACAAACACCTTCTTCTTCACTGCCTTCAGACTCCCTAGGGCGTCTCTGTCACAGGCCGCCAGAGGCAGTAAGGTGGGGAGTCAGACATAGAGCGGCAGCTCACCTGCCATCCTCTCCACTCCCCGATACATAATCAAACAATATATCAGAAGGTTTGGTCAACGCTCGCTCCACCAGTCGTGACGCTCGGTCAAAGAATGTCAGGAATTCATCGCTCGCAACAATCTTGTCACGCTGCTCTGCAGACATCTCCATGCATAGGGGGTGTGTCTGGACCTTGTCCTGCAAGGGAGCAGGTCTCGACAGAGGAGTAGGGTCACACAAGACAGGACAACCTTGTCGGGCTCGGTGGCAGCTGGAAGAGATTTGGCTGAGACCACTTCCACCACCAGCGCGTCCTCATCTTCGGCATCATTCCTCTGGGGCTCCATGGAAACCATGTCAGTTTGTGTACTCTTTACGTAGACCTCGACTTCCTGTGTGACGAGGAGTAAGGCTGCAGAGGGCTTCACTCCCAGTGGACTACCTTTGGTCTGATCACGACAGGCGCCAGGGCCTCTATCACCAACTTGGTCTTCCTCTTGCAAGCTGGCGCTGGAGTGCCAGCTGCAGGAGAAGCAGCAACCTCTCCTGGAGACTTCGCCAGCACAGACGGAGTGGAGGAGGGTTTGGTGGCAGGGGGGGACCCTCCAATCAGATCACTGACAAGTTTATTTACATCGTCTCTCTCCTTGGAAAGTGGGTCTGGGGATTTGGTGCGGCTGGAAGGACTCCCTCGAGTTAGGAGCTGCAAGGCAGATGATAATTGGGAGCATAGAACAAAGAATAGTACTAGGTAAGCGTACCGCCTTATTCGCAGTCTCGCTCTTCTTTTGTTCACGGCTTTTTCTTAGTTCCTCCAACTTCTTACGTTTTAGATCTATTTCGGCTTTTCTATCGGCCATCGTTAGGTCCACACCCGCAGCACAGAGGAGCTCCCTGCACACTAGTACAGTACCACTAACTTGCCCGCAGCAGCACAAAATTGGGGGCGCGGGGAGAACGAGCACATGACTATCACGTGTGCTCCACCACATGGCTTTTTGTCGCGCACATTTTGTGCGTGTGTGTGACAGTAGCTAGAGGTAGTTGTTGTGAATCCGAACCAGGACATGGAGCTCCCGAAGGAGGAGGCAGGTTTGTGAAAAGCCACCGTTTATCATTTGTGACTGGCTACTGACCTCTAAACTCAGCTTCCAGCGGGAAGAAGAAGAAACAGAAGAAGCAGAAGTCGAACAAGACGCAGTCCCTGAATGACTTCCTGGCACGCCCCAGTATTGGGAGCAAATACTCCTCCAAAGACCCTCCAAAGCGTACAGACAGCTGGGCTGACGCCATGGACGAGAGAGGGGATGCAGAAGGTAGGCAAGTAAAGGGTGCAACAGGTGAACTGGTAATGGTGTTTCTCTCTGTGCCAGAGGTTACCACAACCTGGCAGGGAGGAGGGGAGTTTGACCGCTCTCAGCTGCCGAGTGCTCCTCGCAAGGCTCAAGCCAGGAATATTGACCGGGGTCGTCTGCCTAAGGCTCCTCCCTACACTGTGTACCTTGGAAACCTCTCCTATGAATGCAATGAAGACGACATTGTGCACTTCTTTGGGAGAAAGAACCTGACGGTGTGTTATCTCCTGATTGTTTCTCTCATTCAGCATTGGTTGGAGCAGGTGAAGGAGGTGAGACTACCAACTGACAGTGGGACGAGCAGACTGAAAGGGTTCGGTTACGCAGAGCTGGAGAGTGTTGCAGCCATACTGGATGCACTCGAGCTCACCGGAGAGGTGATGATGTAATGACCACACCCACTTGTCCCATTGTGTTCTTTTTGTTTCAGACATTGAAGAATCGCTCGGTGACCATTGATTTGGCAACCTCCAAATCTGCCGGTGGGTTGATATGCAATTTGATAGTGGCCAGAAAGTGGCAACGGTGGTAAAAAAGTAATTAAAAACGTCGACTGTGTGATTCACACTCAGGTCCAATGATTTACTGTCTAGCACTTGGCCTCCGGACTATTCAGTATGTTGAGCGCAAAGTGGTTTTTTGTGTACAGATGGAGACGGAGGGAGAGAAAGGTTCCGGAGAGACTCAGACGATCGGACAGAAAGCGACTGGCGAAGAGGCTCCGGAGACGATGGCCACTCCCCTCCTGGTCCCAGGGACTACCAGAATGGACCTACTTTTGGAGATCGCTACGAGCGAGGGAGAGGGTGGGTCACTGATATTTCACGGCAGATATGCATCGTGTGATAGTGACTTGTGTGCACAAACCTTTCCATTGATTCAAGGCACTTTACTGATGTGTAGTAATTGAAGCAAGGTTGTTATGACATGATGGATACATCTGAAAATGGTGAAGAGCTTCTTATTTAATTGTCTGATGTGTTCTGTTCATCAGGTATGGAGATGACTACCGAGGAGGAGGCTATGACAATAGGAGAAATTATGATCAAGGAAGGGGAGGGTATGAAAGAGGTGGGTATGAGGAGAGAGGTGGATATGCAGGAAGAGGAGGGTATGAAGGCAGGGGGAGACGAGGATATGGTTCTGGAGGCTGGAACGAAAGGTAGGTTGTGGGTGTGATTACTTGTTTAGCAAATATCTTTTCATCTCTATAGGCCTGAAAACAGCAGGGACTATGGTGACTACGATGGAGGGTATGGAAGAAGAAGGCAGGAGGGAAGGTACGTATTCGTGTTTTTGTTTTTTCACGGAGCAGGCAAACTGTCCTGTGTAACAAATGTGTTGTTTTAGCAAAGTTGAGGCATACACCTTGATTGGACCAGCAGTAAAGTGATGTTGTCAGCTTTAGGTCTCCAGTTCAAACCTTGTACTTAATGTTTTTTTCCAATTGTTTTTCCTTTTTCTGTTGCATTTTGCGTTGCGTGTTTGTAGCAAATGACACATATATTATACCTAATTTAGATCTATCAGTATTACTCACTATGAGAAATAGTGCTAATACAGTCAGTATGTTTGAATAGTAAGTCGGAATGTGTAGGTATGAGCAAGATCGCAGGGGACCACCACGTTATGACGATGGATATGGGCGTGGCAGAAGCCCTCCGGGAAGGCCTGAGCCGCAGGAGAGACCGAGACTGCAGCTGCAGGTGTGTGTTCCCCTCTCTCGCAGTGTCAGTAGCCAGTGGTGTAGGCCCCGCAGCCTCGCTCCAGACCAGTCGACAGTGCTCCTACTGACGGCCGCAGTGCCATATTTGGAGCTGCTCAGCCAGTGGATACTGCGGCACGCGAAATGGAAATAGAGCAGAAGATGATGAGGGAGAAAGAGAGAGCAGGAAAGGAAGAGGAGGTGAGACTTGCTCTTACAGGAGTGTTCTCATTTGATAGAGATGCAGAAGGCACAGAAAGAGAGGGAGCTTCGAGAGGAGAGAGAGAAAGGGAGTGTGTTTGGAGGAGCTCGGCCCGTGGACACCGCCAGCAGGGAAAAGGAAATTGAGGAAAAGCTGCGTCGCAGACAGGAGGAAGACGAGAAGTTGCTCCAGAGGAGACAGAGGAAAGGAAGTGACAGCGAGAGAAAGGCAAGGGGCAGGGACAGGAAAGGAAGCGATAGGTAAGCTGTTTTCTGGAGTAAGTAGAGGAATGTGTGTGTGTGTGTGTGTGTGTGTGTGCAGGTCTGGGGATGGGGAGGAAGGAGGAAGAGGTCAGGAACGCTACTCAAGATCTCCTGAGAGGTTGGGGACACGCAGGGAGAAAGAGGAGGGAGGGGAACAAGGTGAAGATGGCAGACTGCATGACGATCACATTCGTGTGCGGGAAGGTCGACCAAAGGAACGGCAGCGAGAGGATAGAGGGCGAAGGGAGCGATCCATTGAAGAGGACTGGGCCGAGGGAGGCAGGGGAGGAAGAAGAGTGCAGCCACTTAGGTCAGGAGGTGAGTGGCTCTAGTGTTGAGGGACTGTGCTGTTAGAGTGCCGTGCAGTGGATTCTGGTGATAGAGAGCCGGGAACTGAACGGAGCAGGGGAGTGGGGAGGCGGGGAGGGTGGAGGGGGAGAGGTGTGGGGGTGCCGGGGACGGAAGGAGAGAGAGGAGACCAGCGAAGTGGTGAGCGAGATCGCCAGAGGCCCAAAGCTCCACCCACCAGGGAAGATGGACCGTTAAAGAAATATGAGGAGCCACACCAGCAACCAGTGAGCTGCCAACACTTCAGTTTCTGAACCAATATTGCTAATGTACTTCATTACAGGCCTTCAGTCAGCCCAGTCGGTATGCAATGCTGGATATGGAAGGCGATGAAGCCATACCTGGTGACAAAGAAGATCGACCACAAGCTGAAGATGACTAGACTATCAAAACTATTACTGACTGTTGTATAATAATACACATTGATGATTGTTCTTATTGTGGCCAATGTGAAAAAATAAGTCAGTGGCTCTGAGCTAGACCTGAATGCAGGCACCAATCCTCTCCAGTTCATTCAGAATAAACTCCATGTCATCTTCAGTGGCAGAGGTTGATACAGTAACCATCCTCATGAAGTTGGGCAGGTCTCCAAGAGGTTGGTAACATATCATCATGGAGCCTGCCAGTACCATGCCTGCCTTCAGTCTGTGTGTGTGGGGCTACAGACAGCCGTGACTGCTGCCAACTAACTTGGGAGCCACTTTGTTAAGTCTTTGTTTCCTGTCGTCACTCTCTGCCACTCCTCTCAGACATGGTGGGGTGTACCAGAAACACACATTTGTGTACTGCTGGTCCTGCAGATTTGAGGTGTGTCAATACACGCCCCATCATGTGTATCTATACCTGGACTACCAGCTCAAAGCCGTCACGTTCCCGAATTCTATCTCTCAGGTAGTTGGCCAGTCCTAGCTGGCGATCAATCTCCCTCCCAGCCCAGGCCAGTCCCTGCGAACGAGACAGCTCCAACCTGTGCTACACTAACACTGCCAGCCACTCACATTCTTCTTCCACATTAGCCATATCTTGAAGGCATCGTTAACTCTGCCACACTGCAGACTCATGTCCCCTGTGTCCAGGGAAACGTCGTACAAGAGCTTGTCTTTCTGGAAGAGGTAAGAGGCACGAAGAGACAGCATTGATCTGAGGATATCCTCATGACGAGTGAGAAATGCCGAGCACTGGAAAGGGACGTGAAGTCCCTTGTGGGGGTTCCAAGCCACGGAGTCAGCTCTGCAACACACACAGGGACACACATGATGAGAGAACACCTCGTGCCTTATGTACTTCTCTATTCCCTTGCAGAGATGTCTGTGGGTTTTGGACATCAGGCAAGAGCCTCCGTAGCTGCCCTACAGAACAGTTTCAAAGAAAATGAATTGCTGTGTAATCATCCTCACATCGACATGAAGCCAGACGTTGTGGGCCTGACAGATATCAGCCATCTTGTCAAGAGGGATCAAATGCTGCCAGCACAGTCGTACCTGCTGTGCCCACTACCACAAATGGAATATGATCTTTAATCTCTTCCTCTCTAATGACTTTCTCCAAATCGTCCATGTCCATTTTTCCCCTGCAGTTCCACACAGGCACTGGTCACACTATAGATAGAGCCTCACATACATGTGGTCACACTTGACCTTCACCACATTGTCAGTACCCAGACCCATCAATATTGCCACCTTGTCCACTGAGTAGTGCGCCTGCAGGATAATGTTGTATTATAGGCAGAAAAAGAGTGGGACACGCATCACCTGGCAGGAGGTAAAGATCTTCAGCTGGGGAAGATGAGCACAGCCTTTGGTCTTGCTATCGGGGAACCGACGGTAGCGAGCAGCCATCAAGCCATACATGTTGCTGACTGAGCCCCCAGGAGAGAAGATACCACTTCCAGCGCTCCAGCCAATCAGTTCTCTCATTGTCTGGAGCACCTCCTTTTCCATGAGGTTGAAGACTGGAGCCATCTCGTACGTGTAACTGCAGACCAGCTACTTTACACCTGGTCTTCCACAGTACACCACGAGATACGTACACACTAGTATTGGCTGCAGAGGTCATAAGGGTTCCACTGAGACCCACCATATCAATGCCAGAGAATAGTGTATTGAACATTCTGGGGTGAGCTGGGGTAAGAGAGAGAGATTCTATAGAGAAGAGGGTCAGGTGTACCTACCTGTGTGCACAGAGTAGTGCAGCGCCTTCGTGCACAGCTCCAGCACCTCTGCGTTGGTGGCTCCCTCTTGTCTCAGGGACAGGTCCATCAACGCCAGCAGCTCAGCTGGCTGTTTGAAGTCAACAACCTGCAAACATATAGCTACACAGTCTACCTGAGCTACGAAGTCGGGAGGTGCACGACCTTGTTCTGTCGGTCCTGGGAGGTCGCCAAAAACTCGTGGACGATACCTAACGCTGCTTTGAACAGCTCCTGTCCCTCACGGTCCATGTGGTCCGCTCTCCTCTCAATCGGTAATAAACGGCCACACCCCTCACAATCTGCGCATGCTCAGTACCTACCCTGATATAATATGTGACAATAATGGACACCAATGCAGACGATGATAATCCTCCTACCGCCACAGCAGGGACATCAAGCGCCGTGATGAAGACGTCATCAGCTCCCTGGGATCCTATGACGTCACCAGAATGGGATGGGGAGAAGCACACTAGAGAAGCCATTCACAGAATCAAAGGGTAGAGTGAGTTATTACCATCGGTGTGTGGCGCTGTTTTTACACTGCCACATCCTCCTCAATAGAGATCTAGACACCATCTATAAGGACCCACCCCATGGAATATGTGTCATCCCTGACAAAGACAACATCACAACTGTACGATATGATGCATTTTACAACATGAAAATCTGTGCATATCAACTGCAGGTACACGCTATGATCACTGGTCCATTTGAGACTCCATATGAAGGAGGACTCTTCCATTTCTTTGTCAGATTCCCTCCCAACTACCCCTTCTCTCCTCCGCGAGTCAAGTTCCTGACCACCGGAGGAGGGACCGTCAGATTCAACCCAAACCTCTACCAGAATGGAAAAGTCTGCCTCAGCATTCTGGGGTAAATCTTGGCTAAACTGCTATATAGTATGACTTGTGCGTATGATGCTGCTCCTCAGAACATGGTCAGGTCCGGGTTGGACAGCCACGCAGTCCCTACTCAGTGTTCTAGTGTCAATTCAGAGTCTCCTGAACGATAAACCCTACCACAATGAGCCTGGATATAATCAGGTTAGCAGGCCTTCGTGTTGCGAGGCTATCCCTATTTGCAGCAGGCCCACAACCCTGGAGATGTGGAGAAGTATAATGACATCATAGTCCACGAGACACTGCGAGTGGCCGTGTGTGACTCCCTCACTGGCAGCCAGGCCGGTCCTCCTGAACTGCAGTGAGGATTGCCTATATATTGACATTCTGCGATTCAGTTTTACCTCCTGCCCTGCTCGGCAGGGATGTCAAAAGAGAGGTTTTCCTTGGGTTTGCCGACTACTACATCACCACAGCCAAGGAAATAGGAACTAGACTAGAGGGCCAGCTCATGACGGTAAACAGCTAACATGTCCATGTAGAAATATATATAATATTGTACATTGGTAACACTCTTATCGAAAACAGGACCCTTTCAACTGCAATAAAGGGACTTTCAGATTTGCAGAACTAGTCGGAAGACTTCAGAGGCTGCAGCAGTCACTAGCTAAACAGAACTCGCACCGTACTTCATAATGAAACTGTTGTGTGTCTACATTAATCGTTTTTTCTTCTTTTTTCCACGGATCCTTTCTTCATCCAACTTCCTCTCCAATGCTTCTCTCCTTCCCATCTCCTCATCCTCCTGCAGTCATAAATTAATTATATACAGTGGTCCAGTGCTTGCCTTGGCTGGTAGAGGTCGCTTGCCAGGCAGTGAACTGGAAAAGGGGGGCACATCTCTCCCTTCATTTTCGGTACTGGACTCTTCTCCTGGGTGTTGTGCTATTAGTGACAGCTACTCATTAAAAATGTCAAAATGGGATTGGGGGAAGCACACAAGAGCAATTACCAGGTACTTTATCTTTCAAGATGACAGTCGCTGTGGCAACACTTTGATAGAGACTCTGAAAATAGTCGTTAGTCAGAACTTTGTGAGGGGACTGGACACAATCCTCAAACCTCTGGGAAGGACAGCAGTATATAGATGTCAGGTATGTGGAATGCTGGACTGACCTGTGATGCTACACTGGAGGTACAGAAGGTCTTCTCCTGGAAGGGAGCAGTCTCCAGATTCCCTGTGTTGTGAGGAGGTATGACAGCGGTAGAGGAATTGGAGGCTCACGTCTTGACAGAGACGCCCCGCCGTCACGGTAGTCTTGTATCTCCCTTTCCTTCTTGCGAATGACCTCCAGCAAGTCTCGCCTCTGACAACACAGCTCATGGAGACAGCTCAACAGGGGTCCCATCAAATGAGTCTCCACCTTGGGAGTTGTTCAAAAACACTTTTTGAAATTGCTTAGGTTTTCTAAGACCCATGACTAGTATGTAAGTGAGCAATCCTGAACACATCACTGAGAGAGGAGGGCCTACCACATCATGTGGTGCAGGAGTACAGTGAAACTGCCAGGAAAAAGGAAGACCGCCCGACATGCTTCCAGAGATGCTGAGAGTTTTGCCATTTCCAGCCTCAGTCTCAGCAAAGGCAGGGAGAGAAGAGTAGAGAAGAGATGAGAGGTGTGAGAGAAGAAGAGAACTGGGAGCCTCCACGTTTGGATTTAGGGTCTGGAAGAAGAAAGTTAGGACATATTTTAGCGCGGTGGGCACTTACTGCCATCCTTTCTACCATCCCCTCTTCCTCCAGTTTCTCGGTCCACATGACGCCTCCGTCCCACAGCAGTACCTCATACCCAGCTCCCTCTTCCCCGCCAAACACACCTTTCACCAGACAGCGCCTCGAGTCGACCACAGCAGACCTCCAAATCTGAGCCTGCAAACAAGCCATCTCTCTAGCTAGCTAGCTAGCTAGCGCGCGGCCCGCCTCTCCTTTTTGCGCATGCGCAAATCTGAATCCTCGCTCTCGATCGTTGTGTGCGTGTGTGTGATCGAGCGGAACAAGGCTCTCCTGTGTTTGTGGAGCGGTTGCCAGTGGTCGTGTATCGAGGAAGAGAGACAAAGTCACCTGTGCTACACCTGAAGTTACCAGAACACGGCCGCTTGTCTTGTTCACAGTGAGGCCTCGAGACTAAACTCGGAAAGCTTTAGTGAACCTTCTAGGAACAGTGGTAAGGCCGTATGCTTGGTCTCTTAGCCTTGCCTTGAGTCAAGTGGTGCGTGGCGTGGGCCTCAGTGGTCTGTATATATACTAGTGTACGTGTCAGTGTTCTGTTGGAGTCATATTATGTCAGTGTTCTCTTGGAGTCATATTATGTCAGTGTTCTCTTGGAGTCATATTATGTCAGTGTTCTCTTGGAGTCATATTATGTCAGTGTTCTCTTGGAGTCATATTATGTCAAGTGTTCTAGTGGACAAGACTAGGTTTGAGGATGTTGGAAGAAGTTGCTCTTCCTGGTTGTCTATTTACTTGTTCCCCACAGCTGTTGCCATGGAGGAGCAGGAGACGGTGATAGGGGAAGTGATTGCCCAGTTCTACTCCTTCTTTGGTGGGTTGATGAACCTGAAAGAGAGGCTCACCGGCAGTCCCGGCATCAGCCAGTCAGTTAAAAAGGATCTCCTGCAGCAACTGGCAGTCCTGGAGGGTGAGTGGTGGTGTTTGTTCCCTGGGGGGTGATTAACCCGAAAGTGTTATTGTTAGGAATCGTCCCATGGATGTGTACACAAGAGGTCTGCCATGTTGGTTTTGGTGGGGGACTAAAGCAGGTGTTGGTGTAGCTGGTAGTGCGGGAAGTGGTCGAGAAATAGAGAAGCCAAGTGGTGCTGAACTTGCTAGTGTTTGTGGTGGTATAGAGAGGTATTCTCTCCTGGCTAGCAGCTGCTCCACCTTTTCAGTGGTCTCAGTGTATTGTTTTGAGGAGTGCTGTAATACATCCTGGTGCAGAATGGAGCATTAACATTTGTCTCTATTAGTATCGTGTGTGTTGTGGGGTCTCCGTAGGTATATAGTATGTGTTGGCTGTACATTATGTCCCTTGAGACACAAACCAACGATTAGCACTGCTCATTAGGACATCCCTCGTAGAAGGACACCATCAGCTCTGCCTTGTAACGAGGTGGGTGTGGCCAGGCAGTTTCCATGGTAGCACCTCGCACTGATCTCACACGCATGTCAGGATGGAGTGTTGCAGTGGACATTAAGACTGAAAGGCACATCTTGTATTCCTGAATGGCTGTTGATGTTAGCAGTGTCACTAGAAGCCTGGAGAGTGCCTCTCCATATAGCAAGACTCAGTCAGTCAGTAAGTCAGTATAGGAGTTAGTTGGCTACCCAATGCACATACGGAGGAGGATATCTAGAGCTCTGAAGGCCCTCTCATTGTCAGCCACTGGGCCCGAACAGTTGAAAGGTCTGTTTGTCAAATGGATGGGAGGTGAAAAGAATCATGAACTAGAGATACATAGATACTAGTTAGTATGTACCTAAGCTCTGGAGCCAGCAGTTGTCTTTGGCCTTACAGGAGAGTACAAGAACTCCCAGGAGTGGTTCATGACCAGAGAGACACAAGACATTCGAGTGGTAAGTCGCCTCTTTTCTAGTCAGTGAGGGAGTCAGTATTCATACAGGGAGTGGTAGGTACTGAGCACAGCCTCAAGTCTGCACTGGTCTCGGCATTCTCGGATGGAGAGTTGGACCTGGAGGGAGATGAGAGAGGTAGGCTGCTGGCATGCTGGCTCTCCGGTGTTAGCTAGTCCTCTCGCCTCAGACGGCAGAACAAAGACCAAGCTGACAGTGGAAGGTCGTTGTCGGCTGCTGCTCGTGAGAGAGGAGACGGGAGGCCCCTCCAAACAGCTGGCCTTGTGGGCCGACGTCATTGTGTATGTGTTCAGCTACGCCAACTCTGCCAGTCTCAATGAGGTCAGTGGCTGACTTCATAACTCAAACACCAGATCCTCTTTTTGTGTAAAGTCCCAACAACTACCATATAATTTCCCCACTGTGTGGAATGCAGTGATTGTGTCTCAATAGATCAGTACACTGTATGGACAGATGAGAGACGTGAGGGACGAGATACCCGTGTTACTGGTCGGAGTTAGAGGTTTGTGCTACTTTACACGGTGCCCTTTATCATCTTCCTCTCTGTATAGGAGACCATTTGCCGGTGGAAGTCAGCAGTGCAATGGTCCGTCGTGTTGTGGAAACTATGGACAAGTGTGACCAGAGAGATGTGCAGCTCTCGGAGAATGCCATGCAGAATATCAACGACCTGTTCCTGAAAGTCTGCAGACTTGCTCTGACTGGACCCACGCTCTCTTCCCTCTCCCTCCCGTCCTGCTCCATCTCCCAGTCACCTTCTCACACCTCACTCAAATCCTCACTCCCTCCCCCCTCCCCCTCTCAAACCAAGAGAAGGAAAAAGCAGAAATTTGTAAGTTTGTTTCTCGTAACTCTGCCCGTGATGGTCTCAGTGACTGTGCCACAGAAACAAGGGTCCTACAATGTCCAGAAGGCAACACTGACGGAGAGTCTGGGTTCAGGGCGACACATCCCTCTCAAGGAAAGTCTGGTGAAGAAGAAGAGTTCTGGAATGAGGCTGGAGTGGAAGAAGAAGTACCTGGTGCTGAGTGAGACAGAGCTGACCTATTACCCCAGCCTCACAGTCAGTCTGTCTCTCCCTCTCATGGCCCCAACTTCCTTACCTCTCCACAGGACTACATGCAGCAGACTCATGGGAAGAACTTTAATCTCAAGCATATCACCGTCAAAGTCCCTAATAAGCGTATCCCTCTCGCCCGGGCAACGACGACACCTCCGAGTGGGGTGGGTGGGGCAATAACGATCGATCAGACGGACAGTCTGCTGAACGACTCGGACCACAGCCCCTCCCTCAGTCCGACTCCGCCCACTCCAGTCGAGACATCGCTCGACTTCTTCCCCACTGCTCCCCTTTCTCCAGTGGCCGTCGACCGAGGCTCTCTCGCTACCGCTCTTAACGAACAGGGGCAACCCCATAATGAAGACCTATCAGAGAGCTATGGAGACTCCTCCATGTCACCAAGGCAACACCCAAACCTGGAGTTGGTATCCAATGGGCGTGGTCACAACAGGAATAACTCGATGGACGAAGTATTGCTGAAGATGCGAAGTACGGGGATGAGTTTCACTGATGAGGACAGGCCATCCACTCTGTCTCGTGTCCACCGTGGCAGACTGGACAAACCTCGCACTGGATTCCTCAGTGTTTTAGTCCCAGTGAGTCTACAGAGACAGTACACAGGGAGTCAGTCCCATTTTGCACTTGTTGCAAAACAGAAACTTCCGTGAATTAAGTATGCACCAATTGACCCACTTTTGTGTCTTAGCCCTACATGTGTTGTAGCCCTATGTGGTATACACGTGGCTGTGACACATTATTTTGTTTGTTGTTGGTGTCAGTCGAGCGAAGACATGCTGTCAGAGAGCCCTGGAGGTAGTTCAGAGAGCATTGGGGGGAAGAAGAGGAGCAAAGAAAGTCGCGACAGCTTCTATCTGGAGAGAAGTCCGTCAGGTGAGAGTCTAGCTGCCAGCCCTGACCTGTGGGGTGAGGGTCTGTCTGTTGGTCCAGGTAAAGAGGGGAAGACTAGGGGCGCTGGCAATCACAAGAGGCAGCGGAGTTGGGGAGGGAACAAGGGAGACCAGGAAAGTGCGGCAGGTATGCCACTCTCTCTGGTCTGGTGCAGGACTACATGCAGGTATATATCTCCAGACCCAGTGCCTGAGAGTGCAGAGTTCCAGATAGTGTCACTGGATGGGAAGGTGTGGGAGCTGGAGGCCAGCTCAGCCGAGGAGACGGCTCTGTGGGTGAAGGCCATCGAGGAGCAAATCAAGAAGATCTACTCCGAGAACATCTCTCACAAGAGAATGGTGGGTGTGTCTTTGAGGTTTTGTGGGTGTGGCTAGTGGGGGGAATCCCCTTCTGCAGAATTCCAGCAGTGAGATTGAGAAGAAGGCAATTCTCAACATGGAGGGTAACGATGAGTGCGCAGACTGTGGACAGACCAGTAAGCCCCTGAGGAAATTAGCAATCAGAGGTTTCATTCAATCGTTCTCTGTGTCAGATCCGGAATGGGCCTCCATCAACCATGGTTGTGTTCTGTGCATAGAGTGCTCTGGCATCCACCGCAAGATGGGCGCACATGTTTCAAGAATACGCTCCCTTACTCTGGATGAGTGGAGGTACTGCATTATAGTTGGGAAACCTGTTTTGAGGACTGTCGCCATCCACCATGTCAACTTTTTTAACCGAGTGTCTTAGTAAAGGAACATGCAAATGGTTTCAATGAAGCCGTATAATTACACGTTATGAAGGGCAGTCAATTACTCTTTTATTGTGCCTAACAATGCATGTTAATTGACCTTTAGGGTATTATGTTATTACCACATCCTCTCTCTTCCTTCCTTAGCTCTGAACTAGTGGCCATAATGAAAGCCATAGGCAACAAGAATCACCACCAAATATGGGAGGCTCGAAAACCCCGCAGCAAACCTTCGTCCACCAGCAATAGAGATGAGAGGGAGGAATTTATTAGAGCAAAATACATCTCCAAAGATTTTCTATTTGTCCTTCCACTCAGCAGCAAGGACCCCGCTGAGGTAGACCTACTCTCTCTCTTTACCACTTCACTGACTCTATCTCTCTCCCACAGCTCCTGCTGACAGCGGTACAGTCTGGCAGTATTGAGAATGTGATGAGAATCCTGCCATACGCCAGTCAGGATGATATTGACAGACTTCATGGGAAGAGCACTGCTCTTCACATAGCCTGCATCGATGGAAACACCAGCATTGTGCAGCTGCTCATTTGGGTGTGTAACCCTTGTTGCTGTACTGAATCTCTCCCTCAGCCTTGCCTTAATCCTCTCAGAATCGAGCCAACATCAACCAATTGGACATATTCAACAGACCACCACTGTACTATGCCCGTCACCATGACCACTCCACTATAGAGAACATACTCATTGCCAGCAACTGTGTGGTAGACGACCTCTCGCGACTCTCCCACTCCTCCGATGGTGGCAGCTCCGAGGCACTCCACAGAACTCGCTCCTCCTGATAGCTGGCTCCTCCCCCTTTCTCTCCTTCTCTTCCCTCTCTCTCTTTCATCCACTGTGTGAGGTGGTCAGTGTATGTGCTGAACACACTATGGCTCTGGAATGCATCTGGTTGCTAATTTTTTGGACTCTGTGGAGTTTTGTAATAATAGTTAGCACTTTATCAGGAATCACATAGTGATAATATTATTTCTCTCCTCTGGCCCCCTGAAAAGTAGAACAAGTCGGTGCGCGCTAATTAGAGTAAACATGTTGTGCATTAATTGGAAAATAGGAGGCGGAGGGTAGTTGGCTTGTGCAGGACAAGAGTGAAGACACGTCCATGACCGACTTACTCGTCATAATGGATTCGTGCGAAAGAGCGTCCAAAGAAGAGCTAGAGAAGATATTCACGAAGGTAAGCCAAGCCAGTAACAGGCCCTCCTTCAACCAGCCTATTCCTGTCAGTATGCCACGGTGGAGCGGGACGGGGAGTTCTTCATGACACACGAAGACTTCGTGTGTCACTACCTCCAGCTGGCAGACGTAAACTGCCAGCCGCAGACCAAACTGGTGCTGGCTAGGGTCGCTGACACCACTAGAAATGGGTCAGTTCTCCAACCTCCCTCTCTCTTGCCATCACCTCTCTCTTCTCTCTGCAGACTGATTTCTGTATCAGAGTTCAGAGCCTTTGAGTCACTTCTCACATCCCCTGACTCTGTGTCTCAACTTGCCTTCAAGCTCTTCGACATTGACAGCAAAGGCAGCATCAGCTTTGGTTGGGATATCAGCATACTAACTAACACTCTAGTTATGGTTTATCGTTTATCTCTTCCGCAGCAAATTTTAAGTTAGTGCTGTCCCTAACCACTGTCCACAATGCTGCACCTTTTGACTTCAACTGTCCACTAGTGAAGCAGTACTTTGGTTCGAAACGAGACCGTCACCTTGACTACCACGACTTTACTCAGCTCCTCCAGGTACATACAAACCTTCCCTCGCTGTCTACTGATCCAAGTTTCCTCCACCCATAGAGTCTGCCTACTGAACATGCTCGACAAGTGTTCTCAGCAGCTGATGCAAGTGATTCCGGCAGTATCCCGGCCCTGAATTTTGTGGAGCTGATGATGAGGATTCGCAAGTATCGCATGTCTCCCTACGTACAGGAAAACCTCCTATCTGTGAGTGGTGTTGGTCATCTGGTTCCTGCATGGTGTCATGTGATCTGTCACGTGACCAGGTGGCAGGAGGGGGACACACCAGAAACGTCAGCTATCCGTACTTCAAAGGCTTCAACCAGTTCCTAGGCAACCTGGATATCCTTCAGAGAGTGGTGACCGTGGCAACCAGAAACACTGGATCCGCCACTCATAGTGGGTGCATACTTTGCCCAAATCCCCACTAACCATCTCTCTCTCTATCAGGCCAGCTGCTGAGAGAAGCAAGGCGGTATGGACAGGTCACTCCCCTGCAGGTGGCGCTGCTCTACCAGCTGTGTGACCTGGAGCACAGGAGGGGTGTCATCACCGTAGCTGACTTCCGGAAACTTCTGCCGCGACCTTCCTTCGATGTTTATCCCCCTGTTTCCATGGCGACCAACACCACTGACAGTAGTGGACAGGTAGAACTGAATGCCAGTACATATTGTGTGACACAAGAGGGAGCATAGAGCACACATGGTTTGGACAGCAGCCCTTGTGTTATGGGTTCCTTGCGTGTGTATTACATGTGTGGTGGGGAAATTGTGCAGTGTTGCACAACTTGGTAGGATCTCTTTGCTAACGTAATGTGAACGCAATATCTTGTATATATACATTGCGATCACAGACCTTATGCACATGTTTCCATGCATGCATTATTATGTGTATATTGTAGAAATCTGGTACTATTTATCTTCACAGGCGCAGGAGGTTCCACTGTTCCTGAAGTCACTGGAACCAGTCTACAGGTTTTCTCTCGGATCTATCGCTGGAGGTGAGTAGCTCCCCCGATGTGGGGTCAGAGATGAATTCCCGCCCACCCCTCTCAGCCACGGGAGCAACAGCAGTGTACCCAATCGACCTAGTCAAGACTCGCATGCAGAACCAGCGCGGGTCTCTGCCGGGGGAGATCATGTACAAGAACTCCATCGACTGTTTTGTCAAAGTTGTCCGGAACGAGGGAGTTTTTGGACTTTACAGAGGCAAGGAGAACCTAATAATCAGCCACATGTAGGTCCATCCCTTCCTCTTTCACCAGGACTGCTGCCTCAGCTGGTGGGTGTGTCTCCCGAGAAGGCCATAAAACTGACAATGAATGACACGATGAGAGACTATCTGAGAGAAAAAGATGGTTCACTGCCACTGTGGAAGGAGTGTGTGGCTGGGGGATCTGTACGTTGAATTGTTGGGTATCCTCCTCTCTCAAACTCTCTCTCCCACCCTGCAGGGAGGGGCCAGCCAGGTAATCTTCACCAACCCCATTGAGATCGTGAAGATCAGACTGCAAGTTGCAGGGGAAATGACTGAGACGGCAAAACTTGGAGCAACCACAGTTGTCCGAGACCTTGGCTTCTTCGGACTTTACAAGGTCTCACCTCTCTACCATACCTTCCAACACATTATTGCACATAATCTGAACACCAATGGGGCAGAAGAAATTTCGGAAGTTAAATTTGTGTTTTGTGTAGCTATCAAGAAATTGCTCTTGGGGAAGGACAATGTGTTTGAGAGATATCCTTATTTCCGAGGTGTCCATAGGAAAGTTCCACTGTAACTTTACGCAGTATATATGCATAAGGCAGTGATGTTTCTGAAAATGTCATCTCTGTAGGGAGCGTCAGCGTGTTTCCTGAGGGACATTCCATTCTCTGCCATCTACTTCCCAGTGTACGCACACATGAAGTTGGCGTTGACTGATGAACAGGGGCACATCGGGCCCGCCCAGCTGTTCACTGCAGGCTTTGTGGCTGGAGTCCCTGCCGCAGGACTGCTGACTCCCGCTGAC